ACCAAACAGAAGAAATTAGGACTTCATTAAGAGTCTCACTAAAAGCCACAACTCTGCATGCAGTATAAAATCTAGAATAAAACTTTTATTTCTTTCTTGGTTTGTTTACTTAGATATTTTTTATTTTGAGGTACACCTGACATTGTACTGTCTTTGCTAACACACTCTGTTGGGTCAATCCCATCAGGTAAGAGTGCTGAAACAGGTTCGTTTGACATTTAGTCTGGTATTACCCCTTTGGCTTCAGTGAGGTAATGTCAAAGCCAAGTTTTCCCCTGACTTCTGTCAGGCATGTTTTAATTATCTAGTTATGACGTGGAGTCTTCTTTCTGGAACAATATGCTCTCTGAAGTATTTGGTGTATTTTTGCTAATTACTTCAATTTAAAAATTGAGTGTGCGTGGGAATCGCTCTTGTGATACTTGCAGGAATAATTACGATTGGTGAGGGAACAGGAGTTCTTCGAACAATTTTAGAGAATATACTGCACTAAAATGTCTTGTTCCACGGACACAACCATTTGCAGTGCTGCAAAACACGAGTGTTAGTTTCCTAAGTGTTGTAAATCAGCAGGCTCATGGGATAACTGTATTTTGCCAGTGTTTTTATTTCCTCTGGTGTGAATCAGATATTACTAATACAGTATATGAACATCCATAGAGTCAATTCTTTCTCATAAAAGTGTTCAGAAAAAATGAAAATAGATTGCAAAATAAGTTATTTCAAAATTATTTTTATTATAGTGTTAGGCATATTGGTAAAGTAAGAGGGTAGCAAAGCCTCCTCTCTGCCATATAACAAGGACTTCTGTCAATATAGTGATTCCTGATCACAGCACTTTTTTTCTAATTAGGATGAAAAATCACATAATAGTTCAAGACACCAACTGCTACTTTCTCTGTTTACAGACTTGTTTGAAATTCATGTACTAGTGATGGTCAATACCAGATAAATCTTTCATGCTACTGAGAAGAAAAATATACACTCACAGTTTTGTAACAGAGCTTTTTTTCCCCGACAGATTTTTTTTTTTAAATCTGTTGAGAAAGTCAAGCTGTTACTCTGCTGTAACATGAAGGATATATGGACTTCCGTCATATAAGGATAAACAATATGCTGAATTAAAGCAATCATTATTTAGATTACAGCAGAAAGTTGTCTCTACCCTTTGTGCACTGTAGTGGTTTCTAAAGAAATCTGGATTACATACTAAAAAAAAAAAAAGTGAATTGTGCAGTAAACAATAGTGTAGAAGCAGTGTGACAAAAGGAAGAGAATCTACATAATTCCATCTGAAAGAGAACTGTAATTTGATGAAGGACACTGACACTCAATACTCTGAAGAAGTCAATTTTGGCTGACTGAAATAGCAATATGCACAAAAGTAGTTAGTGAGTAAAGAAGAACTCCAGAAGAATGGATTGCCTGCTATATGAATAATGACTGAACAAACATGAGAAAAGAAAATTTAAATTAATTAGGAAAATTAATTCTTTCTAAAGTTAGGTAAGTTAAATTGATGAGGTTTTCCACCTAGGACTCTTGATGGGAGCAGATCTAAATTTTGATCTTTCTGAACAAAACCTAACAAGATGAGGTACAACAATTAAATCTCCCTTCTTGCACTTGTGAAAATGAAGCTGTCTTTCAAGATGATTTCATAAGAATAGTTTTCAGGAGATTTTTTTCTGTGTTTAATGACCTGCTGATACACCACTGAAAAGAGGAAATGATTGTACTGTGCTCCTTAGTACAACTGCACCAGCTTCGTGGAATTCCGTGGCCCAATCTATCTTATTTACTCTTACATGAGAGGTATATTTAATATTTCTCTTTTCTGTTTTTAATTACTGCAGGAATGGGAAGTAGTAACCCAGTGAGGTTTTCTGCTCAGGGTTTAGAGTAAGCATCCTCCAAGCACATGTTCTGGGGCCTGTGAGGTGTGCTCCCCCATGAAGCGTGTCCACAGGCAGCTCGCATCAAATTATTCCAGGTTTTAAAGCTGTTCACCTAGATCTAGCTGAAGTGAGTGACATTACTGCACCTGCTTGCTCATCACTGTCTGTCACTAGGAGTTACTATCCCCACAACTGTATCAGTGGGAAGGATTGTTCGAGTTTTTCCTCTTCCTTTCAGGCAAACCCACTTTGTTCAGCTGAAATCAGTCTTCACTGGATATTTAAATGAACCCATCTGGCTCTTCTGGAAGTGCATTAGGCATAATCCTTCCAGCCAGCTGAGAGGTGGAGCAGGAATCTCCAGAAAAGGACTAGCACAGCTGTCTGAAGTGAGCATGAGTGTTCCCAGCAGGGTTTTGTGTGGAAAACTGTGAGTTTGGAGGAAGGGTGAACATTAAAAGCATGTTACTTCTAAGGAGCAAACACTCTGTTTTTGTGCAAGTGTCCTTCTCAATTAAATCAGTGACGCAATTTATAGCCAAAGTGACTTCTATATAATGGCTTGTTTATTGAAAAAGATTCTGCTTGGTATTAGGAGCTCATTAAACTGAACTGCTGAAGGAAAAGACATTGATTTAGGCTTCCATGAGTAATGGTGTACCATCCATTTCCTGTGCTCTCAAGTTCTGTATGTACTTTTTTTGGCCTGTTTTTTTATAGCAGACATCGTTTAGCAAAATATTTAATTTCATACCTAAAGCTTTCCTTAATCAGGCAAATATATGGCCCGACTTCAGGAAAAACACTTAGTACCACTTCATCAGACATAAACACATACTTAATAGTACTCTATTTGACACACCTACTTTTCTTGATCTGAAAAATTCTCCAAACTTCTGTAAATTTCCAATCTAACAGGACAGTTGAAAAGATAAGGGACAGAATTGAGAGGACCATAGTTTGAGAACTGAAGGTGATACACAAATGCTGTAGGCAAGACCATTAAAAGATATGAGTACAAAATTTACATGATGAGATAATCTATTAAACCACCCAATTTGATTGCAGATAAACAATAAAGTTTTGGCATGTAAATCCTTGTTCAAGTAATCTGAAAAAAGTCTTGAGAATGTAACCAGAATAGGACTCTGCCTGAAAGCTTGCCTGTTCTTTTCCAACCATGTCAATTAATCTAATAAAAGACTTCTTGTGCAAAGTTTGCTATGATGTTATGCAAAAGAAGATGGAATGATCTGCAGACAGAAAACATGAAAGAATAACCCAGGATCACCCCAGAGCCAGCAGAAAACAAATATTTATAATTGAAGACCAAGAAAAATCGGCAGTTTTCCCTTATGCAGTCCCGGAAGTATACACTGTCTGCCAAGGGAAGGAGGAGACCGTCAGCCTAGGCACAATGCTAATTCTTGGGCCACTGGATGCTCTCGGATGGGACGTTTGCTTTCAGATGTAGTGCAGGACAGGAATTGTAGCTGAGGATTTCTGTGTAGCTGACAAAGGCAGTCACACAGACATCCAAATCCTGAAAATCCTTCACTAATGAAATTCTTCATCACAGCATCTTACAAGTGCTAAACCTCGCAGCAGTTTGAAAGTGTTTCCTTAGTAATTACAGCCACAGGGCAAACTAACACAAGAAACCATGTAATCCTTCTAGGAAACATCAATTTCCTCTTCTCACCTCTCTTCCCCCACTTCCAGTCATTTGTTCCAGGACCTGCCTCTTCAGAAGATTTTTGTGATTTTCTGGTCAGCCTACCCTGACTTGGTAGGCTTCATTCCTATAATGCCCTCCTGGGCAAGCAGAGACAGTTAATGCACTACTGAATAATGAGGGAAGTATCCCCTAGTTTCATACTTAACCAAGCTTTGTCACCTCATTTGTCAGCTCTAGTCACCTCATTTTCTGCACTGATTAACAAGCAACCATTCCCACAGCTTCTCCCCTCTCCAAATCAGCTGCTGCCTGCTCATATGTTCCTCTTCTGTCAGCATAGCTTTCAAACTACTCAGAATTAGTTTGGGTTTCGGTGTAAGCCTTTGGCAAATTAGTTGTAGTCTGATGAAGGCAACATGGTTGTCTGGTCCCAATTAAGATCTCTTGTCAAACACTCCTGATGGTCTCCTTAGATAACATGCATAAGCTAATCACTGTCATTTTCCCCTTCCTGTTTTCCCCCTGGTGTTCTGTATATATACTAATAATATCCTGTTTGCTAAATTAGGAAACTTTTATTATTTAGAGTGTACCTTTCTTCTCCATAGATTACTCTCCATGGCAGAGATTTGTTATTGGAACGTTCCCAGTTTTGTCCCTGAATACACCGTGGCTGTAACGCTACTGGTGAGCTACTGCAAACATCAGCTTTCCACCACCAAATGGATATTGCTGTCCACTGTCAGATAAGAGAGATAATGAGTAACAGACAAGCAAGAGACGTTAATGGTTTGTTTTTCACCCCTTATGCAGATCCTCTGGTTTTAGCTATCTTGTTAAAACTAGTATTATCCTTAAAAATTAAATTTTTAATCTGTTTAGAACACTTTGTTCCTGGGAAAGCATGAATGAGGGGGATTAAATTATATCTGTACTATACTTTTCTTGGTGATTGGTAATTATATTGTCACTCATGATGCTATTCATTGCACTTAGCCGCATGGAACTGGGGAAAAACATGACATTTCCCCATGTACTAGACATAATGAGAATCTATGGCTTTTCACAGAATCATACATCAGTGAGGTACAGGAGTAAACAAAACGTGGGAAAGTTGTATTTGGAGCAAAGGGGTGGTTTTTTTTCAAGCCATAGTATAAAATATTTATATTTCCCTTGGGAAATATAAATGGGGAGGTAAAAGGTGCAATGGCCAATTCAGGTGAACACCAAATGCTTATTTTGTATCTGTTGCTTTTTCAATGAACCTGTCACCCACTGAAACACTGCTTTTGAGAAAGGCCCCGTACAAACTCCGGCTACTATCTCTGGCCTTTAGAAGAGAGCAACCATTTTATTTGTTGCAGTTTTTGGATGGACAGTGTGAGTTAGAGATGGAGACTGTGCAAAGAAATTAACCATCCTCTGGAAATAACACACCTGTCAGCAGAGTCTTCGTATGTGCTCCCCGAACACACAAACGTACACTCTTCTGCCTATCCATCCTGGAACAATAAGCATCTAACCTTGTGGGGCTGGTAGGTCTGTCATTAGGATGAACACACTTCTTCCGGACCCAGCTTCACTGAGATCAAATGCATTTTTCTAGTTTTTTGATTGGAAAGTGTATGGCATATTGGAAAGATCTGATGCAAAAGATGCTGTCCAAATACAGTACTTTTATTAAAGCAAAGCCCCAAACAAACAAAAATGCATCTTTTTGGCAGAGTGGCATACTGAAGAAACTGCATCATTAATATGTTCTGAGAAGTTTTAAGTAGGAAACTGCTGTTATTTCAGAAGTTATTTCCATGAATCATAAATTGATTTAATTTGTTGTAAATTTAACAAATGGAACATTTAAGTCTGGAGAGGACCATGTCAGTCCACAAAGAGTCAGAGTAACTATCTATGTTCCCAGTAGGCTTGCTTGCATCCAAGTCCTTCGCAACCAAAGCGGTTCTACAAAACATTTTGGCCTCAGTGACCAGTACCTCCTGCAACGTATGCTTAGGCAGAAATTTTCTGACCTACGTCTACATCACTATCACAGTGCAATCCAACATCACATGAAGTCTTCGCTTCTACTTTTAATAGAAGTCAGTTGCCATAAGCCACAGTACTCTGCAGACTAGCTGTGAAGAGCTTTCAACAGTGACCTGGTTTTTGATACTACCTGGTACACATTAAACGCTTTTGGGAGCTTATTTTCTCTTGTCAGGGTCACTGTGACTTACATTTTGAAAAAAAGTATTATCCCCCTGGTAACAGTCTTTTTCCTTCCCTTTCACAAGATGTTGGCAAATGAAAACTCAGGAGACTTATTGCTGTATTATGCAAGCATTTAACTTTGTTGTTTTAATCTTTATTGACTGATGTAAACTCAGCACACATGGGCCAAGAAGACCAACTGAGGAAAGTACTTACATTTTTAAGAATGCAAAAAGAACACAGAGAAAACAGACAACCCAGAACAGATGCTGCAAAAATTATCTTTTTAATAGTTATACATTGTAAATTGCCATGGAAAATGTTCATAGCAGATACTCTCAGTGTTTTCCTTTTATCAAAGAGGTTTGCCTTTTCAAAAGCAAGCAAAATCAAGGTTTAATCTCCTCTTAGAAAACTGGGGGCTGTTATGCTCCTCTCTGCAGTTATAACCTGTGTAAAGCCTGCTGATGGTCAGTGCTGCCCTTCCTGATGTTAGAACTGGGCCTCAGTGTGACATAAAAGGACGAGCATTATTACCTGAATCTCCTACAATACTGCTTCACAAGATGATGCTTTTAAAATGCTTTGGGTAAAGAGCCAGCAGAGTTTTGAGGGTAAAGGTTTGGGGTTTTTTTCTTCTTTTTTTTTCACTTGTCTGGTCTCAGGCTGATCTGAAAAGAAAGGGAGGCAGAACTCCCTCCCTGCAGGCCACCACTCTCAGCGTGGCAGCTGCAGCCGGAGGAAGCACTGATGGGCACGGTATGACCCAGCTCCTCTCTGTGACACTTCGTATATGGAGCCCTCTTCTGTCTGACCAACTGCCCACAGCCAGAATATACCAACAGGCTGTATTACTGGTCATGTTGTGATCATACTGGCCATAACAACCTTTAGTCAACACGTGGCATTGTATTCCATTAGAATCAGTGTTACTATAGTATCAATATATTGCGCATTATTTTTAGAGAACAGCAATGCAAAACATTATTATACTAGCTATGTTTAATGAAAGAGGAAACAGGACCCCACTATCTGCTTATAATCCGTATTTGTATGTGACACAGAATATTCAAAATCACATCAACAAATTAACACTCTGCATCTGCACTGATAACATTTAGAAGGGACATAAGAACACAGATTCTGTTAAGAAAGCAATGCTTATGTTCTTATAATGCAAAGTGGCCATGGTTAAACTGACACAGCAAATTTTTATAAGAGCAGCAACCCCTTACACAGGTGTGAAGTTAATGGAAATGTTAAAACTTCTTTATCAATTAGATTAATTTTTAAGTCAGTGTTTTCAGCCAAAAGGCTTGATGAAGGCTGTGTACCCAGGATGGTTAAGATAACAAGAAGACTTCCATGAAGGATCAATGTATCCCTCAACAGCTGCCCGAGGCTTCCAGTCTCCATTTCTCTTCTTACGCTTGCTTACCTTTTCCTCTACATCGGTATGTTTTAAAGATTGTTACAAATGTATATACCATTCTTGTTAAACTCAGTGTTGGATGTTTTGAATCAGGAGACACTTGAAACCTCTGTTTAGGTAGAAAGGTTCTGATGTCTTTTGTTGCTTGTGGAATTCTTAGGGATGCTGCCATCGATTGTAAAGATCAACACAAGGTCTCATGCAACCTTAGTTGCAATATTTCTTAGAGCTACCTCTTTCATGCTGCTGTCCACCCTCACATTTCCACTTCAGGGTATATATTCAGAAGGTGGGGTGTGTTTTTTGGAATCATTCGCTACTGAGGTATTATTACTATCAAGCAGGATTTTCTCGCAATAATTTAATATATATTTGCACTCAGTAAGATTTCATGTTTTAAAATGCCTGCCCTTAACACAGAAGTACAGAAAGCCTCATTTATTGTGCCAAGACAGCTTTTTCATACACTTCAAATTTGTACTGGATGCCATTCTCCTCTTGGATATCAGCAGGGACACCTGGGTACCTGGAGAGAGGGTAGAAGAAATAGCAAAAGCCAACAAGTAGATAAAAATATCATTGTAAGCCACCTGTAATTTATCCAATTAATTAGAGAGCTGTTTGAAAAAAAAAAAAGATGAAAATACCATCCTTACAACAGGTCTACTAAATATAAACTATTTTTAAGAATCGTGTTAATGACTATCAGCAACCTGTACACACATCTTTTTAAATTAAGAAAGCATACTCTGATGCAAAAAATTCCCCACCTTTCTGGCTTAATCAAAAAACCCCAACATTTTTATGAAAGGTACATGTTATTTAAAATGTCTGCAAAGGGTTTTTTTGCTTTGCTTTTCCTCAGATGATTTACAGGAAATGCTACGGTGAAGGTTTCTTACAAGTCAGCAACAGCTTCTTAAAGTAGCTGATTGCCACCATGCAAAGTGTTGCTCTATATTCCAGATTTACTAAACCTGTTTTTGTTAATGGACACTTTCAAAAACCTATTCAGCTCCCTGTGACAGAATAAGGATTTTGTATGAGTAACATTGATATTGAGGGAGAAATTTTAAATTTTATCCACTACATCTGACTCTATCAGGTTTCCACTTTAGTGAGGGAATTACATGCTATTTTATAAACTCATGTTTTAAGGCCAATTTCTGATTTCAGTACACTGGCCAAAGCCAATGTGTATCTGAGAAACAGCCAAGAGGGAGAGAGAGGAGCTTTGGGTCAGACATTAGGATACTGAAGTGAGCTGATAACATGGCACAGCATGGTTCAGAACATGTTGGAGCTGACAAGGGTGATTCATTCTCCCCACTGACCTTGTTTGTCTCTCCTGCATACTTCTTTCCTGCCCCTACCTATCCTCCCCACTTCAGTGCTAATCCATTCCTGTCCCCCATGCAGAGAGCTTGACTTGCTGTAATTTCTGTTTCCTCCACTGCTGGTCTGTAACCAGCTGAGAACCAAAACGAGAGTAGCAAGAAGAGGAAGGGGTTCTTTTCTTGCTAGTTCTTCAGGCAGACGTTTGAATTTTTGCCACCTCCCTACTGTCTGTTGGATGTAATCTCATTGGAGAGGTCACAAAAGTATGACTGAGATATGACAAGGATATCATAGAAGATACCACAGTGAATGGCAGAAACTTACAGTTCAATACTTGTTCCTACTAAGTTTGTTAGGAAGAAGTAATTTTCTCAAGAGAAAGGAATAACCTTAGAAATCTATAAAGGCTCAACCCTCCCAGCTCAAACCCATTTAATTTGTCTTTGGCAATTTATCAAAGACATTCAGAGGCTAAATACCACCGACTAACAACATACTGAGAGTTATATAGCTTAGTAAATATTTGAGTAATTAAAATGAGAAACAGTAAGAAAGTTAATTTTCAAGCAAACCAACAAATGCAATTTTTTACTGTAAAGATTATGGATAGGTTGAAGAACACAGCAAGTTCCAACAACCCCTCTGTGCTGAGTGCGGTGCAATTCCAGGTTCTAAGTAAAATATATCTCTGGGGAAAAATACAGTGAAAAGCACCTCTAACTCAAAACCAAACATGGCTTTGACCCTTACATATTCAAAGTAGATTATTAAATCTTCCATCTGAACATAAGACTAGAATGTAGCTTGATACTTACTCCGTGAGAAGTTTGTAATCTTTGTAGTCAATCTCCGGAAAAAATGTGTCACTTTCAAATTCCTGCAGAATTCTTGTCACAAACAATCGATGATTCATTGGCTTCTCCATCGCTGCCTTTAAAAACAACAGAAACAATTAAAATTGAGTTGTTACCTGTAAAACAGCTCAATCATGCATGAATTAGTGTTGTTTATTAAAATTTTTAGAATTCTTATTTTACAACATTATTTGAAGTTGGCAAGATAATATCAAGTGTAAGTTCTTACTAGGACCACTAGCTTTCTCCACCAACTCTCCAAATTCTTGTTCTGCCTGCACCAGCCACCACTATGGCAGCATTCCAAAAGAACCAAGAGGTAAGGTCTTATTTCCTACTTGTACATTGCACACCAAATATGTTATCTAAAACTCAAACTCACTTACTAAATTTATGTATTACAGGATTTAAGCAAAGCAGTGAAAATTGAAGTCTAAATCTCCTCTTTTGGACTCATCCCAAGAGCACTTTCTAAAGAGATAATTTCATCTTATGCCAGTTCCCCTGTTAACTAGCAGCTATACCTACTCTCATAACTTGGGGCTTCTGACTGAAATTAAGAAAAAATTATGAGTAGTCCCATGAGAAAAGAGTAGTATGGCCTAGTCTCAACAAGTAATTTCTGAATCATACCTCTTTGAAATACAGGAAGCTTGAAGTGGTGGGGGAGGCCCACACCTCAAGGTAATTTGTTCTAATGTTTAATGAATATCACTGCTAAGGATTTATATTGTATTTTTAATCTGCATTAGTTTGCAATTCCAGTGATAAAATTAGCTGTCAGTTTAACTTCATAGTTTGATCTCTGGATTATGGCAAAATGACAATATGCATTTAAAGTTATATAACTGTAACAACAACAACAATGAAGTTTCCAAGCTTCCTGGATGAAAAAAGTTTTGAAGATGCCTATTCGGTGAGTTCCTCACTATCAAATTAATACAAACTCAGGAGTTAAAAAAAGATGTTTTGTCTCTGATCAGACTGAAAAGTAACTTCTTCCAGACTTTATCAGCATTAAAATAACCCATTAAAAGCTATACTGGTGCCTGGTTACAACGTATTTTTGAAAAGCTTACATCTGTTTCTCTCCTTCCCTTAAATTGGCAATGAGCAATGCTCTTTGTTAAAGGTGATTCACCATGCAGCATGCTATTAGGTACTACTTTGACAAGTACAGGAACCAAGGAATAGCAAATGTAATCCAATAAAATTAATTGGTATCGCTGCTGAGAAGTTAGTTTCTAGAAAAGCTGCTCTATTACTAGAGAATGACTTGAAATGGAAGGGGTAAGTCACAGCACACTAGCATCCAAAAGCACTGAGCTAGTGTTCATCCAGTTCGTATACAAGACACTTTTTCTTTAAATAAGGGTGGAAGGTAAAAGGAGAAACATATACCTGCAGAATGACAGAAGAATAATCTGCTTCACAAATAAAAACATACAGTGTCCTCTAAACAGATAGTTTTGTAGTAGAAGAATAAAACAACTTCCTGTCCAGCTCTATGGGAATTCAGCTTCAGCAAAACTGTACCTGCAGGACAGGTCAGGGAAGAGCATACAGAGATACTGCAAAGCAAGCTGAACTTACCACAAAGGGGACTGGAGGGTGACCTCCATTCTTGATAAATGGTTGCATTATTTGAGTAAACCAACCAGCTGTGTAACTGCTTGTCCCCAAGTTAGTAAAAAAAGTGCAAATGCTTCCTGAGTTAGCCAGAGAAGCTCTGGAGTCTGTCTGTGTATATGGCCCATGAATACTAAACAAACAAACAACTTGGAGAATAGCAACAGGCTTGAGTTGGTTTCAACCCACATACTGCTTTTTGGCAACTGTGAAGGCCCCGTGTCATGACAGTGAGCATATTACAGTGACGGGCAAGCAGTAACACATTTGTAAAGTGGTTTGACTTTATATTTTGGCTGCTCTACCCTGCTAAGTGTAATTTTCACTTGTACTGGGATTTAAGTACATAGTTGAAGAGCACCATAGGCTGACACCATGACCTGGCTTTGGCTTGTCCCTATCTAATCATCCTAGGGCTACATCTGACCCTGGTCACCTTCATGGGGCCTGATCTTCCCATGTGAACCTGCCTCAGCACCACGAGTCCTGGCTGGTGAGGCCCCTGTCAGGCCAGCCAGGTTACTGCCCAGGGGTCCTGTCCCTTTGGGAGCACATGGTCCTCCATGTTCCCTGAGAGTAATTTCAGAAAACATCAGATAAGTAAATTTTCTACCAAACATGAAAACTTCCACCAGTGAGGTCTCTAAAGGAACCTGTTCAGAAAGAACTGGACTCTGACACTGCCTCTGCAAACTACTGCTATGGATCTGGCATGATGGGGAAGGAGCTTTATCACAACTCTGACATTTTCATGAGGATTAAAGTAGTTCTTCACTGTCATTCAATTCACTCTTGCACTGTTCAACCCACTCCACCAGTTTCACCACCTTTTTTGGTACAGAAGACAAGTTAGGGGATGTATAGCTCTGATCTGATAGAATGTAATAATGGAATTCAATCATGGAAATATGCACTATGCATATTTAAGGAACAGAATAGTGTGTATATGACTTTGTTTTAATATAACATTACATAACATGAAAGTATAGCTGTAAATAATCTTGAATATTTTAATAGGATGTGCAAGAACTAAACATTTCTAGTGACCAGCACAATAGTTAGCACAATATTCAATAGACAAATAACTTCCAATAAGTAGGAGATCAGTGCTGCCTTTTTTGGGTTTGCGTATTTTGTAAAGGTGAGGATAACACAGGTGATGGAAAAGATAGTAGGAGAGGACTTGTTGGAAACAATTGTATCGCGGCATGAGGGAGAGATTTTAAAAATGATGTCTCTGAGCTCATGCTTCTGTAAATTTGAAAAATATTCATCCTTACTCCATGGTCATTACACTCCACTCACTCCATTGCCACGCTGGGTCTCAAAGTATTTCTTGGTACAATTTTAATTTATTGGTTTTCCCTCTTACTCCACTCAGTTATCCTTGAGCTGTATTTGTAGCTGCACTGGTTTCCCTCAGGAGCTGCATATATGTTTGCTCTCCACATAGGCTTACTTCCTTGTGTAGCAGCTACTCAACCCTTTAAGATATTACAGCCTGATGCAATAGGGAAAAGTAATGCTGATTTTTGGTTCACATTAAAGCAGAGCCTATTAAAACTCTGGCTGTTGAGCTCTCAGAAACACCAGAATCACTCCTCAAGTAGAGATGACTTTCCGCAAGAGGGAGGACAGGACAGCTGAGGTGTCAGGATCCCTCCTGTTGTCCCATGTACCTCCATATGTGGTTCAATATGTGAACAACAGTCCTTCATTACTCACAGGTACCTTCATAACCCTGTGCAAAGATTTTAGCATACTCTCATCTTTTTGCTCACTTCCAAGAAATCCTTGCCAGTCCTGCCTCTGAAGCATACAGCAAAAAGGAGATGACCTAAGGATTATCTTCCCCATAATTTCCAACTGCACTGGACTGACAGCTATACAAGACCAGATTATGTCTGCACGTGCAGGACCATTACGTTGAATTAGTTTCTCTATGTAGAACATGAGTTAAAACAGCCCTGAAGCTCTACAACAAAGAATAGCTGTGTATTACAAGTATTTTCAGAAGTATTATAAGGAAATCTAATTTTTTACAGATCTAATCACCAAACCAGTGTAAATTAGTGGGCATAGCAACCAACTGCTGTAGAAGGAACCCATTATTTCTAGTCATTTAAAAAAAATCACAAGTTTTAGTATACACACACACACACTCCTGCTTTCTCATCTTCTAGTAATTACATAAGTAAACATCCAAAGTAACTATGTAAGGCACTCATTTTTCAAGTGTCTTTCTAGACAACATTGACAATCCAAACAAAATAGGAGAACACTATGAAAGAGAAAATCTCAAAATAAACAGTGTGTTTATTTACATTCTGTTTTTCAACCCTTTAAGTGTATTGGATCATGTAGACAAGCTGCATTTTGAAGCCACAGAGTATTAACAAATATATTTTATACATTAAAAAAAATTAACAGCTGGAGATCTCACAAAGTTCTAGATCTTAACTAAGTTAAAAGGATTTGCCTAAGTTAAACTTTGGCTATTAGGAGAGCTGCAGTGATAATCAGGAGATTCAATACTTTCAAAAATCCTTCCCACACAGCTAGGGCTCAGCTTAGTGAGGTAGGGAACAGTCCTTCCTTCCCAAGATGCTAAGGCTAAGTCTAGTGAGGGAGGAGACACTGTGGTAGCTCCCACCAGTTCTCTGTCAGGGAGTACAACAAAAGTGAGTACAACAGAATTCTACAACCATTAGCGAAAAGCCTGCCCAATTTGCCCTTGCAGAAACTGATACACTTTAGTCACTACACTTTTCTGTGTGTTAGTCGTAAAGGAGGGTCTTTTAAATCTTTTCTTCTATGATCTCTGCAAGCTTTAAAAGCAACAACCTTTCACAGACACGTGATTTGTGTCTGCAACTGACTCATATATTAACCTTTTTTAGACATTATTTTTTCCCAGAGGAATGTCAAATCAATACATTTGTTCGCAAGAATGAGCACACAAAAAGCTTGTTTAGGAGTAATAACAATATTACCACTTTCCTTCCACACAAAAATCCTCTGACTTTAATTTGAAGACTATACTGGAAAGGCTGGATATGTCCCTCTGAAGTCTGTGAAAGTATTAAGATGCTATATTTCAGAAAATTCTTAAACTTTTAAAAGAAATTGTTAATCCACTAGTCCATTGTTAATACCATAGTTTTGTTTCCTTTAATTTTATTCATAACTAGGTAAGAGCAAGGCCACTGGAGGCATGACTACAATAGTAATGGATTTATTTTTACAGAACAAAAATATTTATGACAGCAGGACAGTGCTGTCAGCTGTAATTCTGTGAATGCTGCCACTGGATATTAGGGAATTGTACTAAAAATGCTCAAACCCTATCTCAAAAAAACCCTAGAGGTCATAGGAATACAGGAAAATTGTCTTCCTGTTCTCATCTTTTTGTTCAGACAACTACACAAAGCTACATAACTACACATGG